CTACATCTGAAATTAATGACACACGTTAGCTCTATATAAAATTATACAGTGTGTCCGTAAAGTATGGAACAAATTCATTTTTATGTAAACAGACCATTTTAGGAAATAATCCTGGAACACGTCGATTTTTGATTTTTTTTTACCGTATTTTAAAATATTAATCTAATATACAGGGTGAATTACTTTCGAGTAATGACGTCACCGTCATTTTTTTATATGGAACACCCCCATTTTGTCTCAATTTTCGGAGTACTCTAGCTGAGCTGACTCCAAAAATGTATCATTCCAATTGGTAAAGGGTGGGTAAAAATACAATAGTTTTGTGTGTGCTCATAAAGTAACGCGTAACATTCTTTATTAGTTAAATTAACAATTTTATAAAAAATACTTATTGTCTAGCGGATAGAATATGATGAAATACATGACTTTATAAATGTTCGAACTGCAGCCCTTGCTGTATTTGACAGTAACCCAAACGGTGTATAAATTCTTGTTGAACCTTGTTTATTGTGTCTCGAGAAATATTGTTTATTGTTGTCCGAATTCTCTCTTTTAATTCTTGAATATTTGCTGGTTTCGTTTGATACACAACATTTTTCAGATGGCCCCACATAAAATAATCCAAAGGATTGAAATCTGGTGACCTCGCTGGCCATTCGATAGGTCCACGTCTATCAATCTACCTGTTCGGAAAAATTTCATCTAGGTACCTTCTAACATCTAAAGCATAATGTGGAGGTGCACCATCCTGTTAAAACCATAAACTGTCATCACAACCTCCAGGATTACGTCTGCTGGGAAACAAATTACGTATAGTAGGTACGGGATACGTCCTTAATAACTCAAGGTACGTTGCCCCGTTTAAATTACCTTCGATAAAGTAGGGTATGATGATTTGATTTCTTACAATTCCAGCCCATAGATTTACCTTTTGCGGGCATTGTGTATGATGCTCACGCATCCAGTGGGAGTTTTCTTTTGCCCAGTATCTACAATTCTGACGGTTAAACTCACCATTTAACGTGAAAGTGGCCTCATCAGAAAAAATAATGTTTTGTATCAAGAGAGGGTCTGGGTGACATTTATCCATCATTTTTTCGCAAAATTGGATTCTTCTATCGGGATCATCTTCGTTTAATTCCTGCACAAGTTTGATTTTATAAGGATGCCATTTATCGAGCCTTAATAGTTTGTGTACCGTTGTTTTGCTAACATCGATATAGCGACTAACTTTACGCACAGAAGTGTGCGCGTCTTCTTCAAAACTAAGTAAAACATCTAATGCTGTATCAGCACTTGCAGAGGGACGACCCGATTTGCGTACATTTTCAACCGTACCAGTTTCTCGAAATTTCTTTTCAATCTTACTGACTGTTGAACGCGTTATAGGTCTTTCTGGATATTTATCATTAAACAAATTGCACACTTCCATCTAAGTTCGCGATCTGTCTCCATACCCAATCATCATAAGTATTTCAATTTTTTGTTTTACACTTAACTCCATTTCTAATTCAAATTAAATCTAAGCAATAATTAAAACATTCACGAATACCAAAAATATTGTAGTACTAAACTGTCACTGAACATCAATAAATTACTAAACAAATAATAACATTTCACAAAAAACTAGACGACTATGTATCTTCAAAATTGATAATAAATAATTTCTTTTATATTCTATCTGCTAGACCACAAGTCCACCCTGTACCAATTGGAATCAATATGTGATACATTTTTGGAATCAGCTCAGCTAGAGTAATCCGAAAATTGAGACAAAATGGGGGTGTTCCATTAAAAAAAAAATGACGGTGACGTCATTACTCGAAAGTAATTCACCCTGTATATTATATTATTATTTTAAAATACGGTAAATTAAAATCAAAAATCGACGTGTTTCAGGATTATTTCTTAAAATGGTCTGTTTAGCTAAAAATGAATTTGTTCCATATTTTATTTTTTGCAAATCTCTGATTTTTTGGAATAAAATATTATTCCTTATTATGTTTAAATATATTATTTTTCGTTTTCATATTAATTTTAGTCTCTGAAATTATTCATTTAATAGTTAAAGCATTTTATCTAAATCCTCTCCAAATTTCCCTTCATCTATCATAACATTTTATCCCTTTTTAGCCAATGGCAATCTCTAGACGGTTTTGGGTTCGAATACAATAAGAATCATTTATTCTGAAGATCATTTGGGTTCGAATACAACATGAATCATTTATCTTGAAGATCATTTACGATGCAGTCTCGAATGAGAGTTATGAATAAGAATCCCGAATCACTTGGAGGAGGTTGCCTAACTGGTATATAATGTTTAACTTACCATACCGTATATTATCTTATAATTTGATACCTACCTTATCTAAAGTATTTCTTAAGTATAATTTGTTAGTGATTTTCTATATTTTTATCACTAATCTAGAGTTAAGTGTATAATCTTTAAATATAGTGGTGCCCTACATCTTTTTCAAAGTATTACAGTTATTTAAAAACCTAACGCATGCTCTATAAATTAAGCTCAAACACATATATCAAAGTAGATAAAATAACCAGCTATTCATGTTACAACCTATGAAGCCTAAAGAGAAGGAGGCGAATCGACAATGACCAAATTTCAAATTTTGCGTCCTTCTTTTTATAAAGTTCACCCAATTGGCTGTAGTTGGCAGGTCAAACGTCACTGTCGTTCATTTAGTATGTAATTTAACGTAAAATTAAGTTATTTTTAAAAAATTGGTAAAAAGAATCAAAATAATGTGAAAAAAGTACCTGAGTACAAGTAACATGAGTGACAAAATACATCAAAGCAAGATTTACTTCGTTCCAGATTGTAAAAAAGGATACATATCAGATGTAAAACAAAAGAAAACACAGGGAGAAATCAATTCAGTCAGATATGTGCTTCTTCTAATATTCTGCTATAATTTATATTTATAAAAAGAACCTGGTGTATGAGAGTCAGCGGGTAGCAGTTTCTGGCCGTTCACAGCAAATACTTTGGAATGAATTTCTACCCTTCGCAGTCATTTAATGGAATTATTACGGAATTAGTGAGAATAAGATAAAATGTTATATTATTATTTAGTTTTATTAAAATGCATTCTTTATTTTTAAAGTCACGCAGGTTAGAAATTCTTTTTGTTCCTATTATTAATTATGTTTTGTAAGTTGTAAGTGGCTACCTTCCCATCAGAGTATACAATAAAATCACGTCAGCAAAAGGAAATTAGAAAGCGTAATGCAAATCTGATAAGCCGTTTGATTAGTGCGAACAGAATAATAAATCAGATCTCCTTTCACGAGGGCATACATATACACGTATATACAACGTATACTATAGAGGCAGCAGCAAAATTGACAGAGTCATAAAGCCCCGTAGTTTATGCCGTATAAATTAAAGCGGAAGGGTCGAGGTGACAGCGAGAGAGCGTGACCCGACCCGGTGATATTTGACGACACCAGACTAATGCAGTCATTAAAGTCTTGCGAGATTGAAACAAATGGTCTCCATGAAGTTGCGAGCACCAAGGGAACTGTCGCCGGCATCCCTTCACACACATCAATATTAATATTTATATGTGCCACAACTCTTCGTTACGGTTGACACATTGATTGCTGTCGTAATCTTCTTTGCGTTTTGTTCCGTTTTGCGTACCGAATTTTATAGCAGAATTACTCCGATAGCGAGACTAGATAGCCAAAGAACCAAATGCTTGCACGAAGTTTTCTCTTATTTACATCAGGATTAATAAGCCATAGAATTATAGAAAATAATTTTAAAAATGCATTACAAGGAATCGTTTTTACAATTAATTTGGAATCCTTCAAGGTTATGAATACAATGAAACTACTTTTACTATTTCAGAATCAGTTTTTATAGCTGCAGGATTCCATATTTGCATCCCATGCTACTCCAGGGATATTTTAGTTTAAATTTATATTTCGAAAACAAAATTCCATGTTCGAACAAGGAATTCCGTGTTCTAACAAGGAATTCCTTGTTTGTATACGGAGTTCTTTGTTTGAACACGAAAATTCCGTGTTAAAACATGGAATTTTAGATTTGCGTGTTCGAATAAGGAATTCCGTGTTTGAATAAGTAATTGCGTGTTTGAATAAGGAATTCCGTGTTTGAATAAGTAATTGCGTGTTTGAATAAGGAATTCCGTGTTTGAATAAGTAATTCCGTGTTTGAATACGGAATTCCGTGTTTGAACACTGAATTTTAAAAATTAAAAAAATGTGGCCCTTCTACGCTGCCATAGTTTTGTGCATGTAAGTAAATTTTAATTTAGTGAGAAAACTTTTTTGTATTACTTTAAGAGAGTGAACGTGGATCTCTAGATTTAAATGACCCTGTTAACTGGAACATTGATGATGCCCTAATAGATAAATTTGCTAAGGATGGCCTAAATAAAATATTGATAGGAACTTCTCAATATATATGTTACGTACCTACCAAGCTGGAAATTGTACAATTCGCGCACCGTACAGTGATTTTTGTACCGAGTGCGAAGTGTATAGACTACTTTGTACGAAGTGCGATTTACCGGACTTGGTATTACAAGTTTTGTACTGTTCGGGTTCTGTACAAATTATATGTACCGAGCTGTTAATTTCAATCTTTCAGCCAACTTGGTACAGCAGTTATTGTACAAAGCACGAATGAGGAGTCACCTGACTATCTGAAGGCATTTTATTATTATTATTATTATTATTATTACTATTAATATTATTATTGAGTCCCGTAATGACAGAACATGCAGAAAAACTAAAATTGAAAAAACAATAAAATAAAAATAGATAGTTTTTTTATTTTATTTAAAGTAAACATAATTTAGCTGCACATATATCATTTATTTATTGGTACAGCCCATTGAATTATGGCAGCAAGAATTACACAAAACTTTTTTTTTCCTGCATACACATCTCTTATTCAAACATTTTCTAGTGCATGCGCATCGCACAAATCCTTGCCCACCAACTATTGATGCCTATGAATTTGCAGCTCGTAAAGATACTGATGCATCTGCCACTTCTTCGATTTCCAAAAAAGTAGTACTGCATGGTGCAATTTGATTTCGACTGTATAGATGTGATATAACTCCCTTCTTTGTTCCTATTTTGTAAAAGTTATCAGAAGTCACTTCCATAACAACACCTAAAACAAGATAATAAATATAAGAAAAAAAGAAGATAATGCGATTTGAACGAAATTAATATTTTCTACTCCAAACCATACCTATAAGGTTTCTGAGATCACCTTTGCTCCTGTCCACATCGGGTACTGGAATTGTTACAGTTGTTCCACATTGCAAGGGTGGATATTTGGAATCACTCTGTAATTTCATACGTTTTGCTTGCTGCTGTAGTCCACTAACTGCTATCTGTTGATTTTTTTGAATGTTCAAATGTATTTTATTTAGTATTGACATTTCTTCTACATTTAGTGCTATTTCTTTAGTAGTGTGGATTTCTCTCTCCTCAATTTGGTCTGATTTTTTTGTTTCTTCAATTACTGACATTTCTTCAGCAGTTTGAACTTCTCTCTCCTCAATTTGGTCTGATTTTTCCGTTTCTTCATTTATTGACATTTCTTCAGTAGTTTGAACTTCTCTCTCGTCAATTTGGTTTAATTTTTCCGTTTCTTTATTTACTGACATTTCTTCAGTAGTTTGGACTTCTCTCTCCTCGATTTGCTCTGATTCCTCCGTTTCCTCAAAAATTTCATTTGTTATGGAACCAATAATTGTTTCTACATCCTCTTCTGTATTCAAGCTTTCAATGACAGAAGCTGGAAGAGTACTAGATGCTAGTCCTAATTTGGCTTTCCTCCCAAATAATTCTTCAAATGGCGATTGCTTAATTCCAGAATAGATACTATTATTTTTTTGATACTGACAGGAACGCAAACCTTCACTCCATTGAGTTGAGCCATTATCTATCATTCGCAAGCTCTTATCATTTCCTCCACATCCCGGTTGGCCCTTTCTACACTCCCCTGACTCTGAGAGTGGTGCGGTTTGCCATGGACAATTTTTAATTGGGGCTACATGACGGTCAATTCTTCTATGACAGAATTAACAAATTCTCGTCGGTTGTCTGACTGGAGTATTGAAGGGGCACCAAAAATGCAAAAAATATCAATTAAATTATAACTAACTTGCGCTGCAGTTTTTGTTTTTAAAGGACGTAAAATTAAAAAAAAAGGTCAAGTGATCTTGGTAGTTCATTATAAATTTAAAATTCCGGTATTGCATGTCTATTAAGTCCACTTGTCCACGTGAGTTATCTTCATTAAAAACCATTGGTTTCACAACAACTCCTTTTTTTGATGAGCTCTTTTTTTGCACAAGTTTCACAGTGACTTAAGAAAAGTTGAATTATTTGACGTGGTATATTTACGTATTTGCTTTTTACAGCATTATGCATTTTATGTAATCCACCATGACCAGTTTCAATATGTGCGTTTTTTAAAATTTCGAAAATTTCACCATTTTGAACAAAGTATTTTACTTTATTATTTACAGTTCACTTAATTTTTTTTCAAAATTTTCTTTGAATATACACACACTTTGCGATTCCATTATTTTTAGTCAGTAATAAACCATTTAATATAATTACTAAGTATTCGAAAGCACGAAAACAAGTGTTTGACTGATCTGGAAATGTAAGGTTATGGCGAGCAGACGTATCATTTGAGCTTTGTACAATAACTGCTGTACGAAGTTGGCTGAAAAATTCGTACAAAACCCGAACAGTACAAAACTCGTAAAACCAAGTCCGGAAAATCGCACTTCGTACAAAGTAGTCTATACACTTTGCGATCGGTACAAAAATCACTGTACGGTGCGCGAATTGTACAATTTCCGGCTTGGTACGTAACATATACCTATATATGAAATATATGTGAATATGCTAGAGATACACTATTAGAACAAACAATTTCCCTCGACTCCAAAACAGTAGTCGTTGGTGATTTTAATTTTAATTTCAAGGAAAGCACCAGAGCTGTTAATAATTGTAGAAATATTTTTTTACCGTTTGTATTACATGAACAAGTGTTTGTAGATACTAGGGCAACAGATAAAAGCAGAACAAGAGTTGACAATTTATTTACAAACTTAGAAAAAGAAAATTTTGTTAAAGATGTCATTGAGCCTTTTATTTTGGATCACAGGGGTATAATACTTAACTAATTACCGATACAAAAATTGTAAACGATGCATCTTTAAGTAGGCCAATGACTGAGAGGGTCATACATAATTTTATATCTGAATTAAAAAAGTTAAGTTGGGGTTTAAATAAATTTAATGAGAACAACCAAGCTAATAATATTATTGACGTTTTATCTAAACTGTACCTACAATGTTTTCCTGAAAAGAAGGTAATCAAAAGTAAAAACAATTAAGCAAACACTTAAAATGTAAGTTACATTAAGTAAGATGCTACTCAAGTAATATTCAATTCTACGAAGTCACCGGAATTATTATCGTTTGTAACGGTTGGAACCGTTTTCGTTATTTTGACACAAACATCTCTACTCAAATGTCATTTGTCGTTTATGCCTTGTGTCAAAAGTTCATATTTGACTTGATTCGAATATATCAACTAGATCACATTCATTTCAAAATATCTGGGTCATCCGATGTACTAAATAATTTTTATCTATCGTATATTCCGTCTGATTTAATAAGCATGGCTATATCTAGTTATATCTAAAATATTTTATGGACATTCGTATCTAAACGGTTTATATCAAGAAGTTTATGGAGATTTATACCTAAAAGTTTGGTACGATCTGAAGACCGAGGTTTGGTTCACCTATAGAAGATCGTTCAAGTTCAGAATTAAGAATAAGGATCCCAAATCCCTTAGAAGAAGGTCTAGAATTCATGTAAATCACACTCCTAATTTAATTAGCTCCTGTTAACAACAGATAAGTCTTTATTTTTTTAAATAAATCATCTAAATTTGAATTAAGTAAATCTCTGTGAATTAGAATTTGTTAATACCTCATCTAAAACTTGGTTTAAATATAATATCATAATCTTTAGTGATTTTCTATATTTTTATCGCTAATCTATAGTTAAGTATAGTAAGTTTTAAATATAGTGGTGCCCAACTTCTTTTTCAAGGTAATTCGAGTTATTTAATAACCTGACCCACTCCCAAAATCAATTAAGCTTAAAACACTATAACAAATAGATAAAATATCAAGTATCACGTTACATTTACATTAAAAAAAGAATACCGTAATATTGTTAATAAGGAAACGGTACTTTTGAACAATAAAAAAATATTTGAGTCTGATAATAAACAAAAAATAGCTTGGCTAATAATTAACACCAACTTCAGTAGAAATAAATCTTCTAAAACCAATGTGTCTGTCGATGATTTTGCAGATTTATTTCAAAGTGTAATTCACGATTTAGTTGAAAATTGCAGGCAGTCTACTAATGTTAACAGCTTTATTAAAAAAAATCCTTTTAATCATTTATCAATATTTTTGAACCCCACAGATACAACAGAAGTTTATCAAATTATCAAAGATTTAAAAAATTCTAAAGCAAGGGATATATATGGATTGAGTGCAGTTTTGTTGAAATCATTTGTTGATATTTTAGACACTCCCATTGCTAACCTAATTAATTTGTGCATGAAATCTGGAGTTTTTCCAGATACATTTAAAGTATCACGAGTTTCCCCCGTTTTCAAAAAAGGGGACATGAATCTACCATCTGCTTATAGACCTATTTCAATTATACCAATAGTAAGCAAAATTATTGAAATAGTGTTAAAACAACGAATTATGAATTTTTTTGAAAGCAACAAGTTGATAATCCAAAATCAATTCGGTTACAGAACAAACAAATTAACAATTAACGCAATATGTGATCTCTATGAAACTGTTACGGATGGTTTTGAGGATCGTTCACATAGTACTGCCAGATTTTATGATCTTACGAGAGCGTTCGATACGGTTCAATATGACATTTTATTATTAAAATTAGAGAGATATGGAGATACCTCTTATTTGCAAAAAATAACTCACTATGTTAAAATTGATGGGCATATTTCGGGCAAGAATTCAGTACTGTATGGAGTTCCACAGGGTTTTGTTCCCGGGCCCTTTTTTTCCATCATTTACTTTTATGATTTGTCAATGAATCTAAGTAAAATAATACATGTGTATTATGCTAATAATTCAACATATATTGCTACAGATGAAAATAAACCTGAAACTAAATGAAGCCGAAGTTATGTCAAATAATTGGTTTGGTAGCAATGGTCCTACATTAAACGAAGTAAAAACTCAGGAAATGTCATTTTCTAACATTGCTAAAAGATTTTAAACATCACATTCAAAGTTTACTTTTAGCAAAAGCTACTTATGCAATTATACAGCTAAAATTTCAATTAGACATTGTACATTTAAAAATGGTCTACTTTTCATTATTTCATAGCATTATGACGTATGGGGTTATACTTTGGGAAAATACAAGCAACCAATTTAGCGTATTTATTGAACAAAAAAAGTAGTACGTATCATGACATCGAGTACCTACAATAGTCACTGCCAACCTATTTTTAAACAGTTGCGTATTTTACCACTACCATCTTGTTTTATTTTAGAGTGTCTTTTATACATGAAAAAACAAATTGGTAATAATAATGTTATAAGACAGAGCTCTAAACATTCTTATTGCACCAGAGGAAATTATGATATATCTTTACCTAATTACAGATTAACCAAACTTCATGATTCTTATCAACATTAAACTGTACAATTTCCTACCTCAAGCTTATAAAAACTCATCTTTAAATTTATTTAAAATAAGAATTAGCAAATTTTTGTCGAGTCACTGCTTTTATTCCATTGACGAATTCTTATCACATGTGTCCATCTGTGCATGTGAGAAATATGCAAACCTTTTTGGTGAATATACCTTTTTAATTTTTATCTTTTAGGTATGTTTTAATATGTTATATGTGTGTGTATCTATATATTTTTTTTGTCTATATTTTTCTAAATTGTAACTGTATTTTCTGTATCTATATCTATATATCTTTTTTATATTTTTAACATTGACACATGTAAAATATTTATTTTTATTTAACATCAATAAATATCTATCTATCTATCATCATTAAGAACTTACATAGATAAAAACAGATGCTGTACAAAAATATTTTTTTTCCGAAAATTAAAAAAAACTAGTTGTTTAAAAGTGCGACAGTTATTTTGTTTTGTATTTTTAACATATCATAAATATATTTTGATGTTTTTTTTTGGTTGTCATGTCATGCCAACATATGTGGAGGCGGTAGAAAACAACCAGGCTTTGAGCGCCGTTAGATGTTAATATGTCACTTAGAAAAGCATACCTTGCAGAATTTTAAATCCAATTTTAGAATATTCCTAAATACAAGAGAAAACTGCATCAAATGCTTTGGATTAATCTATCATGCATGATGGATGCACAATGGACCTAGTGAAGCCTGAGTGCCGTATGGAAACCAACCCTCTATACATTACAGATACAAATCAATCATGATGCCACAAAGACTTGGTTTATTTTCATTTACATTTAATATATCTTAAATTTAAATTATAATATGTATATGTACCGCTACTGAACGTAATTTATGACAGTACTCTCGTCGTGGTGACATTTAGAAAGCATCTAAAACTACTGCGTGTTTACAAGCAACGGCCAGTTTAATTCTTACTCGTAAAAAAAGAAAATTTATGGCCTCTATAAAAGGTTTTTGAATTATCATCATTTACAAGTGAATTAAAGCCGTCTTAATATACCATTCTCGGGTGATTATGCCATAAAAATGATTGTGTAA